AGGTGACTTATATGTAATGTCCTTACATTTGAGCTGTAATTAGATTACACAGGGAAATATTTGTACTGGTAATTGCTCTCCTGTTCTTAACTTCCAAGAATAATAAAATATTTTTATTTTTATATATATCTATATATCCATATATCTATATCTATATATAAACTATAAATATATACTTTAAATATATATACAATAATATAAATTTCTAATATATATTATTATATAAATTATATATATATGTATTTATATTAAGAGTATCTGAAGTGGGTGTTTTTTTGTATGAATAAGTCAAAGTCTAGCTTTGCTAAGCAATATTATTTTAATAATTGTCCATGCATGACAACAGGAATTAATGCCTGTCTGTCTATGAAAAGTATTTGTGAACAAAAAATAACTCTTGAATATTAATGTTAGCAGTAATGATTACTATATTAGCTAGAAGTCATAAGCATGAGAAATAAGGAACTCAGTTTTGCATGTTCTTGGTAAATAAATGATATAAATACTTTTACATAATCTATACTGTAATGAAAGAGGATATTTGAAGAGGAATGTTTTATTAATACCCTGGCTGCTATGTTTTTACAGAATATCAATAGTAATAATATTTGAAGACTTTGAAAGCTAAGGTCACAAGTGATCAAAATATTAATTACTGCTGCAATGATTTTTGTACCCCTTGCTTCTGTGTGACTGAAAACTCCACTATTTTGCTCTGCTCCTTCTCTGATAGCCTCTGGATAGAAATTTTGGCTCTTTATCCTCTTTTACTCCTATTATCCCTGAAGCAGCTCATATTCCTCTATTCTTTTTTCAAGATCCTATACATTTTATTAATAGCAACTCTTCTGGTGCCTGATCTTCAGATTTCTTCCTGAGCTTTCCTTGTCATCAGCTTTCCCTTGTCTTCCACACTTCCAATTGCTAAAATAATGTTTTAGTTATGCTACTGTTTTCTACCAGGGCATTTGTTAGTTTCAAGCTAACTCCTGTTAGTTGTTCTGTGTTACTCTGAATTACAGTCCTCCCAGCTGTAAAATAATTGGTCAGAAGTGTGAATGAGGTAAATTTATAACATTCCATATCAAAACAGACCTTCCCCCCTCCTTATTATAAAGCCTAATACAAGATTTCTTGCAAGTGTAATGAGAAAAATAAAATAATATCTCAGTTGTTAAGCATAAAACATACCCAGACATGTGAAGAGTGAAGAGTTGATCATTCAGTAGCCATTAGCAACTTCTGCATTCATTTGGCAATTACCTTTAAAAATAAAATTAAATTATCTAGAGAAACTAAATGTAAAAAATGGGGTTTAAATGAACCCCTTACATTTTTGACTGGATTTGCAAATCGACTAGAAAAGCAAACGAGGAAGATTTGTTTATCACCTGAACTTCCTCTGTCTGTCCTACGCTCTCAGCTTACATTTGAGTCCAGGCAGCTGTTTGTGTATGCTTGAATAGTTGAAGATTTAAGGTTGAAGTTATTATACTCAATTCAGATTAGTTGCTAAATCTAATGAAAGACTCTGCTCTAGAACTGAAATCTTCCAGTTGTGAGGCAGGAAAGCTGACCATAACCAGGATACTGATGAGTGTTTCAGAAATTTACACTAAATGTAATACTTCATCAAGAAGGAAAGACATAAAAGAAAAAAGGAATTTAAGATAACATCTTATATGTTCTTCCCCACTATAGCTCCCCAAAGGTTTTAACACGTGATACTTGTTAAATGGTTTGAAAAGTGAACCAAAGACACCCTTGAGTGAAACAAATTATTACAGTGACTATGAGTTTTGAACAATTAAATTTCTTAACATTTCTGCATCAAAATTATTTTCAGTTTCACCAAAACCACGGTTACTTACAGAGTGATTAAAAGGGACAAAACTGGTGAAGTTTCTGTTCACTTACCAACTCCCACTTACTACATAATAGATCTGTTTACATATTAATTTGGCAACCTGTGTTGGGTCAAAAAAAATAGCAACCTTTATCACATATTTAATCTAGTCTGAAAGAGCTACCAAAAGAAAGCAACCCCACACTGGGTCAGGTTCTATGGCCACCAGTAACACTGTGGTGCTAAGAACAGATGTGCCTGTTACACATGGCATCCTGGTATAGAATGTTAATGACATCTTACTTGCTTTAAGTAAATTATTTACTTACTGGTCTTTAATTATGAAGAACGTCACAAGCCATTAAACCCAAGTTCCTGTGGATTCAATGAGTAATCAAAACTTCTCTAATGTAAAAGGCTAAGATGAATTGAAACTCCTATGATCTCCTAGGTTTTATTATACCACGTCAGCACCTGCCACTTCATTAGAAAAATAAAATATTTGATGTTTCTTGATTTTTGGAAAAACTGAGAGCTTCAGAAATTAGCATGGGCAATATCAGCAGGTAGATGTTTGTGGGCATGACCAGTATGGCAGATTTTGATCTTTCTGCCATGGCATAATTTATTATATTGGGATTGTAATTTCAAAATAAGAAGGGTACGAAAGGATGTCCTTGTATGGATGGATAATTGGCAAAACGACTGTAAGGGAAGGTGTGAAGGGAATATGATGTCTTATTATAAAAGTCATTATATACTGACTTTTTTGTGTTCAGCAACAATCTGCAAAGGGAGAGGAGCAATGAGATGTGATAATTTGCCAATACATAAGAGTATTCAGAGTACTGAGGATGAGGGAAGGCATTAGAAATGAGGTCAAAAAGACCTTATGATACAGAGGGAATGGTCAGATAAAAATCAGATAAATTATATACATAGAAAAAAAAGATCCCTGGCTTCAAATATAGGCAGGTGGACTCTGAGATGAAAGTTGTGACTTAGGAGCAAGATCTCACTCCCACAAAAGTACCAACTCAATGCATTGTGTCATCTTCAAGCCACCAAGTTCAAGCTTTACCATATCCAGTCTTTGAGTATTACTAGATACAGTTTAAACCACTATCTTTCATAAAACAGCCTAATGGTTTTCAATTGCTCACCTTCAGTGAAACAACTTATCAACTCTGACATTATTTAGCCTAACAAACACACTCAAATATTACAAGTTGCACTGAAAGGAAGTGAGATTTAATCTTTTATTCTCATTCTTAATGTTCTACTCTAACTTTATCAGCACTTTATTCTTGCTGAGCCTGCAAGCCAGTGAGCCACTTCAGCTTGCATCAAATTAACCCTAATGAGATTGCTCAGCTCCAGAGCATCCTAAACTCTGGGAAGAAAGGCCCTAGATAGAACAGAACACTGTTTCATTTTTTCTTTGTCCATGAATAAGTTAATGTAGACTAAAAAGTCCAACTTAAAATATGAAGGATTTTTACAGGGGCTTCCTATGACAGGACAGTAGATCGAAATGTCACAAACAAAATGGAAATGAGATAGTGGTGCTAATACATATTTATTTCTTTCAAAAGACAAATAGCACCAGGTATTGAAAATTCTTAGCAGAACTTTTAGCAAAATAAAGTACTTCAAAGTGAAGGTGAAATATTAGTACACATAAATGAAATTGGCTTTGGGCAGCAATTTCCAGCTGTGTCTTTTTAAAAGAGCTGCCATATCTATTTGGACAAAATGGAAAAAAACAGCACAAAAAATTTCTTTTTATCTATACTGTAGCTAGCATAGTACGCTATTGATCCACACAACCTATTAAACATGTATTTTACCCGTTTATCAGGAAGGATTCAAAGTTTACCTAGCTTATTTGGCTCGCTTTGTAACTAATTGCTGCTGTCAAAGTTGGACCAGCCGTGCTGGAGCACGTACCAGATCCAGACCAGAGGTATGACATCAACAAATTAAGCACTGTTTTTAACTCCCTGAATTTTCCAGTCCTGATGCATGTGATTGCATAGAGTCACATCTTGGTTTGCTTAGATAGCTGATAAGATTGATACCTGAAAGGGATCTGGCTAACACCCAGGTTTTTGGCAGGAATAACAAGCACTGGCTTGCGTGCTTCAATGCAGCTTGTTCCCAAAACCTCTGTTACCTCTCAGTCTGTAAAAACATGGCTATACATTTGGTAAAGTTCAGCTTTGTGCTCAGCTTTATCAAACGTGCAGCCAACTTACACCAATGCCCTGGTTACCTAGCTTTTGTGCAGCCCTGCTGCAGAAGTCTGTACTTCTATATTCCCTGTGTAAGGGCACTCGTACCTGCGACAGACGCTAGGTAGGATCTTGTTGGAGAAATAACACGCCAAAAGTCATCACAGATTTTAATAGAATCACAGTGGTTTCCCCCTTATTCAGGAAAATTAAAGTTGTCCATGAAAGAATTGATGTAACAGGAACAAAATCCTTTTACAGGGAAAAAGCAGATTCCTGGTTTTTGACAAAAGTTATGTATGATTTATTCATTATTGGAATATTTTCAATAATTTTTCCCCCTTTTCCCTTTTTTAAAAAACAAAACAACTGGAAAAAACTTTAAAGCATGTTTCAATTATACTTGCAAATTCTGAATAAAAACAGAGGCTGAGACTGCTAAAACATCACAATTTCAAGCGCAAGTGAAACCCCAGCACCTTATCTGGGGCTATTCCTGTACTTGGGGGAGTTCCAGTCCTGTGACTAGCGGTATTTTGATGCTGTTAGGAATGTTGGCGTCGGTAACACTTGGCTGTAAATGTGCTCATGGAGTTTGCGATAATTAATGCTGTTTGGACTTTTAAATTTTTTTTTTTTAACAGAAGGGTCTTTTTAAAAAAAACAAAAACCAAAAAACACCAAAACAAACCGAAGTTCCAAAAGGACCGTGCGAACAGCTCTCGCTCCCTCCCGCGAAGGGATTTTCTTAGAGGTCCATGCAGGGAAACCTCTGGAAGCGCTTCCCCGCCCAGTCCCGGTGTGCCCGGGGGATGCCGCTCCATGCACAGGCGATGGAGCCGGGCTGCCAGGCCGCGCCCGGCGGGGCCTGCGAGCGCGGAGCCCGCCCCCCGCAGGGTGCCGCGGGGCGTGTGGGCCGCGCCGGGGCCCCGCTGCCCTGCCCGGAATGGGCCGACCCCTGCCCGGCACGGGCCCGGCGGTGGTGCCCGCAGCCCCGCCCGTGGCGGCCCGAGGGAGCCGCAGGAGCCCGGCCAGGTACGAGCCCCGCGGGCCTAGCCCGGGCGGAGGGCGGTGGCGCTGCCCGCTACCGCGGTTTCGGGGCCTTTGCGGGCAGTGTTTCAGTGAACGAACGCTTTGCCTGATTTTACAAAGAAACAGCTGCTTCCCCCCACCTGCCCCAGTATGCTTGTCCTGTGAGTAGAGTTCAGCTGTTTCTTACAGATGAAGCGCAGCAGGGGCCTGGTGCGGTGGCTGACTTGTTTCCCTGGCGCTGTCTGGTGTTCGCTGCCCTCCAGCTTGGCTGGGGCTGGGGCAGCAGAGGTTTGAAGCACAGCGTCAGTCGCAGTATGGTGGCAAGCAGATGCCGCCATGTGTCCCCACAGTGTCGGTGAGACGAAACCCACGGAGCATCTGCGGCTGTCACGGATTTACTGTTTGTTGGCGTGTGAGCAGCCACGTCCATGCTGGTGTACCAGCTTCTCACGGGGTCCCTGTTAATGCGAATCGGAACTGGGTGGTCAGGCTGCCTGCTGTACCTGATACAAGTGCCGTGGGGCTCTTTTCTCTTTATCTCTCTTCCTTATTTGTAGAAGCAACTGAAAAAGGTGGTAACTGAAGAAATGGGAAGAATACACTTACTTGTATATAAACAAAAGAATTAGTGATTTTTGTGGGGATGTGTGTGTGTGTGAATCACTCACTATGATGTGCAATGAAAAAATGTCATAATTCTTTCTGCTTGAGTTTATTAACTCAAAGCTGGAGATATCCTTCAAGCCATTCTGGTTTTGGAGACCTTGGGATCTTGAGTGGTGTTTTTTCCCCTGTTAACTGAGCAATCTGCTTGAGATCCACAAACAAAAGCAGGATCTTTTCTCCCTTGTCTGGGAAGCTCTTCTTCCCAGCTGAGCTTTGTATTAATCCAGCGTGGTGTCCTCTGCTTGAACAGCGTTCAAATCAGACTGTGATTTACAGTATTGCAAACATGCAGTGTGTCTGCACTGGTTGCTCATGTTTATTAGAATGACATTTGTCTTCTGGGAAAGTATATTCATCAAATCATCCTAATAGTGTGTGTTGTGGCTCAGCAAAAATGGCTTTGGCAAAGAAGTCACAAAGAATAATTGGGAACTCCACAATAATCTTCAAAGTCCTTACGCCATAGACATAGTTCACTTGCTGTATATTCTAAAGTGGAATATTTGCATTCACCTGGAGAAGACATATGACTTTCAGGTCTCTGAGATGGTGCCTCTGTTTCTGTGAGGTGTATGTTTGCTGGTCAAAAAAGTGTAAAAGATAATGAAAGCATTTATGGTTTTTTTTCCATTTCTAAGCACAAGTGTTTCAATTTGGTTTAGGTGATCTGCTGCTTCATTCTAGTGGAGGATAGGGCTTTCTTTTGATAGCACTGCTTGTTCTGTTTCAATATGGCTTCATAAAATAAATTTATGTTTGCTCCATGGTTCCATCACTGCTGCATCTAATGGGGATGTTGGAGCAAAACTCCTGCTAGAAGAAACTGTTTGTCTGAGGCCTCTGTAAAGTAAGGGTAAGAGTTGCTTCTGCAGGGTTTCTAGTTCTCAGTTTTGGAGAGCAAATCCTGAGGAAGGAGAATGAAGTGTGGCCCCCTCCAGATAAGTTGCCAGAATTCAGGAAGCCACACTGGTCCATTATGTGGAACATGCTGGGCTGGTCAGACAGTGACTTGTGCTGGTCTAGGAGAGGGGAAACATGGGCTGAGTGTCACCCATGTTTGGGAAAAGGAGTTTGAATGAAGGAATGCTGGCTCAGCATGGAGCCATTTCATGGCTGCCTGCTGGAGAAGCAAGTTTGTGCCCCTCCCCTTGCCCCTCCAGCTCTGTGTACTGCCATCCTCCATTGCCACCATGTTTTTTTGTGATGGGGGGCAGGAAAGGAGAGAGGAAGAAAGGATGCTGAGCAAGTGTGTCTGAACTGGGGAGAAGAGGTATGTATTTTATCCTTAGTGATGCTATGGAGTGCAGGGAAAAAGTTGTAGAATTGCTGCAATGAACTAAATCATGTAGCAAAAAAGAAGATGCCTTCCATTTGATCAGAATAGCACTTTCTTTGCTTGATTTTTAAACTGGCACCCTCCCTATCAAATTCTGCTATTTTGTGCTATTAATCCTAAAATACTCAGAATTCTTTGGCAGTGGTAAATCCACACCTAGCTTATTGTGCTATAGCTACTAAATTCCTCATAGTTCTTTTGTATTATTCTTCCCTGGGCAGAAAGACTAGTTAGACTTTTTAAAATCTTTGTTCTGTGTTTAAATTTGTTTTAGATTAATCCACTTCTGAACAGTTAATATGACTTCTGCATCTCCAGGCATTATCATAAATGCATGTTATAACAACCAGAGCAAGTAGGGTAAATCCTACACTTGAGGTATGTTTTACATGGAACTTTAGAATATTTTTGCATTCAACTAACTCTGAGACTTTTTCATTTTCTTGAAGCCTTATTCCACCTCTGGGGAAGATGATTTTTATATATGTTAATGTAAGATGTGTAGAAAATTTAAGAAGTGCACGTAGGCTTAGAGATATCTCTAGAGAGTCTCAGAATGGATTTCCTGCTAATTTAAAATGTGCTTAGGTAATACGTTAAATACATTAAATTTAGGTGATCTCTGTTTTCCACTTTTAAGAACAGATACACAGCTTAGTGGACAAACATTTGGAGTTCACTGCAGCTCTTTTCAAGGTGGTTCTTTGGAAGACATGATGTCTGCTTTGAAATTTTGGTGCCTTTTTTATTAAAGGAGAATTCCTAGTAAGAGATGCTATTCTGCCTGCAATAATAATGGTTGTTATTGGACACAGAGAATCAGATCTGTGTGTATACTCCGTAAAGGACCTGCTATTGTAAAGCACTGGCCTTTTGAAGCAAGTAATCAGTCTTTGCATGTGCATTGGTGAAAACAAATAATGTAAGAAAATACTTCTCTATGATATGTAAGATGATAGATGTATAGAAATACAGAAGATACACATATATATTTGCAAGATTAGAGCCTGAAAATTGAAAACACTAAAGGGAAGGGAAAAGTGTATTCTAGTGAAAGAAAATTTCATTATTCAATATAAACTTTGTTTTTTGCAGAGGCAGCAGGATTGTGACTTGCACTTATACAGTCAGCAACTGGAAAAATGCCAGATTCTGAAAGTAATTTGGCGTCTTCACATGTGGATGTTACAAATGGTACTTCAGTCTTGAGTGAAATGAAAATTTCGGATGAAAAGAGATCTGTTAAAAAAACCCCAGTGACTCAGATTGGGAAGAATGGCTATCCTGACTCCATATACATAAATGCAGCCAAGATTTTTCAAGGCATTCGTACTGAAAAGAGTACAGGTAGAATCCTGGTACACTATGGCAACAACTCAGAATCTCCCATGGTGGCTTTTAAAGATGAGCATTCCAGGCGTGTATCTTACGAACTGGCTTTCAATGCTTTAAAATGTAAGTACAAAACTTACCCAGGAATTGCTAACAGAAATGATGCAGCAGAGAAAACATGGAGAAAGAATGTTCCGTGTCTGCCTGGCAGCAGAGATCTAGGGAAATTTTTGTTAAGCTTCAGGTTATTACTGAGTCACAAATTCACAGAATATTCTGATATGGAAGGCACCTACAAAGATCATCAAAAATGGCCCATAAGGGGATTGAATCCACAACCTTGGTGGTTGCTCTGACTAACTGAACTCATCTCAGTGGTTCTTTTCAGATCCTAATTATGAATGAATATATATTTACTAGATTACTCATATCTCTCAAATATTTCACTATAGCTGAGTGTTATTAGCATTTGTGAAATCAAACATTTGAAGCCTATTATTTTTCATGTGAATTAATTACACAGGTTTGCTACTGTTGGTGATTGAATTTGTCCTCAATTTTCATGATGTTTAAAATTACAATTTAGTTACTTACTTCCATAGAATGTTCTAGAGAGTGGCATAACTTGTCAAGATTTTCTTCTTTTTACAGATCAAAGTCTTCTTGAAGAAATATTGTTAGATAGTAAGGTTTACCCATGCAACTCAATAGTAAGTGAACATTTTTGTGAGGCATTTTCATTTTCTGTGTTGATGTAATTAGTACCTTTTCTGAGGATTCTACAACGTTCTTCAAAACAACCTGTGTTGTTTTGAACTACATGACAGCCTTAGACTGAAATATTGCTGACCTTTTTACATAGTTGTCTAAAGCATCCAGCTCCAAAGCCTGATGGGGGATTCTGTTGTAACTGATTGCTGGAAGTCAAAACCTTTAAAGAAAGAGCAAGCCATGAGCTTCACTGCAGCATGGTACTTGCTCGGTGATATTGTCCATGTCCATGTGTTTCCTTTGCAGCTGTGTCCCCTTGTGACCAGGGGAAAAGAATATTTCCCTCCAGTCCTTGGGAGTTGGAAAACATGGAGTGATAAAAAACAGACCAAAAAAAATGCATTGACCCTGTGGTTCATTTGCTGGGCAAACAGTACTGTATACAAATATTATACTGGCAAAAACTGCTCCATCTCTCAACATGGTTTCCTGCTTTAATATGGAAAGAAATTCTAGAGCTGGCAGAATATTCTGCTGGTGCAGAATATTCTGTCTTTTATGCCGTTGAAAATTGCAAGATAAACATGAGCTGATACAGTTTGTGGAGGTTGATATGAGTAAGCAAATGATCAATACCATTATCTTTGCCTCGTTTTTGTAAGGAAATAAGACTTTCATGCTAACATCTTGTGTTTGGTGGTATTTCCCAAATAACTTGAGTTTTCTAACTAATTTTGGTCATATTATGAGAAGGTGAGAATTTGAGAAGGCATAGTAACTGTAAGAATTTCATGTAAAGAGGCAGACAGGAATAACTTAAATGCAGAAATTATTGTCCTTAAGCAGGAGATGCTCCCTGGTTTAAACATTTAGACAGAGAAAGGAGGTTTTTTATATATCGCACAAGCAGAAAGGTTGTTATCAATGAGTGTATTGGATGCTACGTATAGAAGAATCCCACAAGAGAGGAATTGATAGATGAGAAGTTTTTGTTAGCTTAGCTATTTAACAAACTACTTTATTAAGAGAAAATAATTTCAAAGTTTCAATTCTCATAACATTGGAAGTTAAGATACAGTATTTTATCTGTGTGCATGGAGAATGTTTTTAATTTTGATACTCTAAACAACTTGTAAGTTATAAAAAGAAAATTTTAAAAAGTGTTTTATTAACTCTTCACAAGTAAGTATTGTCATATTCTTGCAAGTAAGCATTTAAGGGTTTTTAATGCCTTTTGCATGGAAGACTGCTGTTTGATATGGATCTTTTTGCAGAAATGAGGTGTGCTTTGGGTCACTTTCTCTATCCAGTTGCTTTTCTCTTGCAGCCAGATGAGTTAACCAGCTTGCTTGTTGTGATGCTTTATGACCTACAAGACCGAAAGTTTCAAAAACGAAAGATTTTTGATGAAGAGGAACTTGTAGCAGAGGTTCAGGAAATAGGGCATTATTTATACAGGTATATGTACAAAGAACTATTTTTAAGTTGATAGAGATCAGCAAAACTGAAGATTTGTTTAATTAGTGCCTTTTAAAGGTAAGTATTAAACTTGTATTTCACCATAAAATTTTGTGGGCTTTTTTTAAATTAGAGACTAGTTTAGAGGCAAACATTCATATTTATGTAGTTATGAAAAATACAGATAAGAAACCACCCTTATATTGTGGATTATTTTCCAGACGTCTCCTCTTATTTTGGCATTGTTAAAAATTTCATGAAATTCTAGAAAGGAAATTAAATATTCAGTAAATATTCATAAATGCAAGTGTAATAGAATCAAGAGGTCATGGAAAGGAGTAATATTTATCTATTTAGCAGTACTTCTACTATGAAGCTTTGTTAAATATTTATTATTTTAAATAATTAGAACAAAAACCAGGATACACAAACATTTTAATATTTATTATCTCTTCCACCAAACTACAAACAACATTTTGTTTAACTAAAAAGGCATTTATTAGACAAAATTCTTTTTGCTGCTGGATTTAGAATGGCCCCAAAAATTCATGAATCTCTAAGTGCAAGGTATTTCTGGAGGGCAGTAAGTAAGATATCTGAAGTAGTTCACCAGCAATTTTTATTTATTTTGAATTATCATATCTCAGGAATAAGCATGAAGCTTGTGGGAAGAAAAGACTGGAAATATTTTCTCATTATCATGTAATAATAATGAAAGTGTCTCCTTGTTGCCATCATACTTGTATTGTTTTTGTACATGCTTAGGGGCCAGCTTTCATCAAATGCTCATTCTGCACATCTATGTATTTACATATTCAAACATGCAAATGAATCTGATGGTTGTATTCCACACATTGCAGTTCCAAAACATACTGAGATTTTTTTTTTAGCTGTCTGAGAAAATGGATGTATTTGAGAGTCCCCTGCTATAATTCTATTCTTGCCTGATTTAAATAAAATAATCTTAGCTATTGACTCCCACCTTGCATCTGCTGTTGTCTGGGGTGGAAAATGTTCTGTAACTGTATTTTCTGTTACAGCTTGCAAAAGAACGTGTCCCTTTTGGATTTGGTTTCTGAGCAAGATGGTTTTGTAACAGAAATTGCATGCTAATAGCTGATGAAAACATTTATAAAACTTACTAAACTTGTGACTCTTTTTATAGGTATAAGACCAAACTGGCAGCTGCACTAGCACGATGTCGCATCAAATATGATGCTCTTTCAATTGAATACTTTGTACCAGAAACCCTATCGAAGCAGGAGCAAAGGACTTCTGCTTTACCTGTCTGTTTCTGGATAAACACATTTAAAATCAGGTAAGGTCTTGAAAGTATCATCTGATATTGATGTTTTTGCATATCAAGCAATATAGTTTGCTACTTGTTTTAGAATTTCTAGATCATATTTTTACCAGTAATTAAAAATTCTTACAGGAAAAGTATGCTTTATGCAGTGCCATTGTGTTATATATTTTTGTAGTTTTTATCTATTGCATTAGTGGTGTTTATACACTGTTTTGAAACAGTTCTTCTTACTATTCTGTTGCTTGTGTGGATCATTCACCAAATAAATGAGCAAATAAAATTAGAAAAAACATATGGATGAGTTAACTTGGTGACAGAAAATAAGAGAAAATGTTTTTAAAAGCAGGTGTATTAGTGTAAACCATGATTTTGGCAAAGGGTGTTAAATCACAATACATTACAATACAATAATGCTGTTTATTCTGTAAGGATAATGTAAACTTGAAATTAAAATACACATTTTAAAATCTCTATATTTGGTAGACTACTGTATATGTAACACTGATGTCCCCAGTTCTGTACTAACTGCTACAGGAACCATACCAGGTTATCCCATTACCTGTTTTGTTAGACAGGTAATCCATTTCATAACATTTTCAAGAATTTTGTTTTACTACTCTTGTCTTGTGTTCAGTGCTTTGGTTATAGGCTCTTCAAGATAATGTACCTTATTTCAGGTGTGACTTTAGAACTCTTAAATAGGAAATAAATAAAAGCTGCTCCTTTCAACCTGTGTTTAATGTACTGTATAAACTTATGGCACTGTCTGAAATAACATTTCAACAAACATCTCTTTCTATATGTACCTTTAAATCTTTATGATATTTGGATTGCTAACCTCAGCAGTTATGCCTTCATTACATTTACACAAGGATTCTTTAAGTGTCAGCCATTAAAATTATTGGTGAGTTGGGCTAGATTGAAAGCAATTGAAAGAACTAAAGCGTTCCAGCAGTAAATTTACTACAGCCTCTCCTGAGCACATGGACATTTCTGTTTTGGTGCTTTGAATCATCCTCTAGAGACACATGTCTCTTTTTAAATTAATTGTATCATACTTATTAACTTAAATGTTTCAAACCAGAACTTACGCACCTAAAGTTTCCCTTCTGCATTAGGCAGTATGCATTTTATACCTATATATATATATATGTATGCATATGTATGAACACACACAATAACAGTAGTAAAAAATTCTTATAATCAGTTTAAACTATGTTGCTTAAGTAACTGTTGTATATTTAATGGCCAGAATTGTATGTTAACAGCCTTGAAGATGTTATCAGAGATTTGGAGATGAAGGGATTCACAAAGGTTGAATCTGTGTCAGACTTTGACCATTACACGTATGCTGTGGACCAACATTGCCATGATGTATTGGTTTTTCCTTCCTCTCTTAGAGAAGAACTGCTTAATTTAGATCTTTTTGCAGATTGCAGACTCTTACTGCAGGTGAGTTAATGTTCAGCCTTGAGTCAGATGATCTGCAAATTGAAATAATTGCTTTGCTTTAGAAAGAGGTTGTGCGTGGAGGCTCTCAGTTCAGTCTAAGAGGGAACAGAGAGAATTCTCTCAGGCTTCGGTCTGGGAAGTAAAGAGACAAAATTCAAACAATTACTTTCTCTGTTCATGTGTTGTACCCATGTGAAATGTGTTCTGAAGATTGTTTAGCCAAGGTGATTGCTTGATTGGATTCTAGTGATAGTGTTTAGATTCAATAACCAATCAAATCCACAACTGTGTCAGGCCTTTCAGGGGAGGAGAGAGTCACGAGCTTTTGAGTTAGTAGTTAGTGAGAGCACTTACTACTGTAATATAGTATAATAGAAATATATAATATAATATGATATGATATAATATGATATAATAATAAAACAATTGATCAACCTTCTAAATCATAGAGTTAATGCTAATTATTATCTGGCTGGGGGCCTGCGGCAGCAGGTTGTGTGTTGTGTGACTACTGTATTAAATCAGTCAGGCAGTGGCAAACTCTACTAAGGTTTTGGATGTTTGTAATAATTAGGTTAACAAACTGATCTACTTACTAAACTTAGCATACAAATGTCAATGCTTAATTGATAGGTGCAATTAAGTTAGTAGAGTGTTTTAAATTTAATCTTAAAGCTGTTGAACTAAATATAAAAAGTGGCCAAAAAGAGGCAGTCTCACTTCTGAAAATATGAGGAAAGTTTCAATATTACTCCATATGCTTTCCCCAGTTAGTAGATACTGGTATGCTATTGTAATATTGCTTTCTCTTCAAATACATGTTTGTGATGGAATGATGACACTTCTTTGTATTTTTTGCAGTGTGGTTCTTTGATCTCTATAACCCCCACTGGTCTTTTTCCTGATTTGCCCTTGTTCGGCTCCCCAGTGAAGTTTGGTGGGAGGTTTCTGTTCTAGAGTAGCGGTTTGCAGTAACCATGCCACATAACTAGGAATTATCTGAACTGTCTGATGATTCTTCAGTGCCTAGCAGAAACATTTCAACCAGCATTTTCACTAGGTGTCTGAAAACTTTAGTCTCAAAATTCATTGTTCAACTTAAAAAGTGACTCAGTATTCCATTTCTGTTTGTAGATTTTAAATACAATACTTACAGAAAAGAACTAGCAATGACAGCCCTATAGGTAATGGGAACAAATTCTGAGTGGAACTACTGAAAAGTATTCAAAAAGAGTAAATAAAACTGTCAAAACCTCCATCTCTGGGGTGGAGTGGGGTGGTGCTTGAATACTATGTGTACACAATGATGTGAATTTAAAGGCTTAGCACTTTCTTTTTCCCTTTCCATTTATCATCAATTTGTCAGATTTGGTGCGAGACCTGGTATGTGTGGTCAGTATCTTCACTCCTTGCCTTTTTAAGTAATTTGATAAAGTTTTCTCTTAATCACCAGTGGTACAAGAGCGTTTAGACTTGCGGAGCTGTCTCTGTGTTTTCTGCATTCCAGTCTGCCTCTCTGTTGTTCACATTTCAGCAAAATCTTGATCTTTGAACTACATGGGCAAGATTTCTCCTGTAATTATCATCAAGAGCCATGTGAATAGTTTTGTATTTCTCTGTTAAGCTGCCTCAGATGATGAATTCTGCCTGAATTGTGGCCAATGTTTGTCTTTTCTGAAACAAGCTGTTCTTAGGAGTTCCTCCTTATGAGGATAATATGGACTATATTTTTACCTATAGATGCTGTGTGTTTTCATGTATTATTTAGAATTATTTAAATTTATTGAGTGACTGCTTGGTTTTGTAATTTATTTAATTCTGTATTAGCAGATATCCCTCCCTTCTTTTCCATTTCCTGTGAAAACAATGGAAGACTTTCCTAATTTGGGGAAGAAGGTTAGCATTCAGAGAAACCAAGATAGTTGATCATACTTAATTTTTGTGTTATTGTTTTGTAGGATAAGTCTCGCAGCCTTGCTGTACACTCTGCACAGGCGATGTTGGGTGAAGGTGGTGACATTATAATGGCTCACATAGGCTCCCATCTGACCATTGCCCATATGTCAGTGCTGACAAATGACAGCAGCTCCAGAATTTTTGTCTGTGGTGTGAAATCTTTGGCAAAAGAAGAAGAACTGAGGAACAGTTTAAGTCACATGGGATGTAAAAGTAGGTGCTAAAACAGTTGGTATTGAAGAAGTACTGTAATACCGTTATACAGTTTGTGATGTCTGTAAATATTGACTAATTCTATCAGAACTTAGAGGTCCCTTCTTTGGAGGCTTGGGGATGGCAGTAACAACTTTTTTGTCACAAGATGGGCTGATAGCTCTTCAGCTACAGTCAAGTTAATTGCAGTCTAAGCATATCATAGATGCAAGCTCCTGAAATATTGGTGTTTTCCATAGAAGTAGCTACTGCGTAGCAGTTGGTGTAGCTAGCTGTTTGAGAGTGTTAATCCAAAACATGTGCACTTGTCCAGTTTACGTGGAGGACGTATCAGGACAGAATGCAGCAAGACTGCAACCCCATTAACTGTCTTTTCAGTGGCAGATGCAGCCCTTCAATCTGTTTGAAATCCACAGGCCATACTGTGGAGAATCTGAATCTAGCAGACTCTTCCTCTGTCGAATTCTATGTAATACCACAGTCTCTTCACCTCTATCACCTGTAGGCGGGAGTGCTTGCAGTCTGTAAGTGTTGAGTTTTTCTTGTTTTTCAGATATTTGGTTGTTACATGAAGACTTTACTGAGCTTCAATCAACAGATTCAAGACTTGAAAAGGCAAAAGTTATTTTGCTGCTACCAGAATGCTCTGAACTGGGTGCTGGCAATCCAATGGAGCTTATTTTAAGTGAACACAGAGGTAACTTTTGATACAATATCTAGCTCATGCTTTCTGGTAGAAATATATTTAAGTATTGTGGTCTAGACTGTGCAGGTGCTTCTGTAAATTGTATAATTTTATTGAAGAAACCTTTCTTATTTTAATTACTATAAAATATATAAATTCATTTGCACAATTCTGTGACTGCTTCAGGTTGATAGTATGAATGTTTGAGGGTGATTCTGGCGAGCAGAGTGCATACAGCTTTTTTTAAAGTAAAAAGACTGTAGGCAGAAAATTTATTTCGAGATACCAACATGTATATAATTTTCTATTTTATTACATTCCTTTATTGACTGTTTGTATAAGTCCTTTCATTGTACAATTTTCATTAACTAGAAGCAAGTAAGAGACACCAGAAACTACAGGGAAAGAAGTAAAGCAAATAAATCGGGCACTCCTCGGTATTCTAATTTGTAAAACCTACCTTCCCACTGTACCAGTAATAACCAGGTCTGCTTCTGCAAACAGCTGAATTTTCAGACACTAATACAAATTGCAAGACTAAATTTACTATTCTTTGCTTTTAGATGCAGGATTGCTACAAGACCTTTTACAAGGATTTGTGTCTGAGGATAAACTCAGTATTCTTGCTGAGAGACAGCTTAATGAGTTGATTCATGCACTGAAATGTGAGTGTGCTAGTTTCCCAGTTCTGGGAAGACTTTGCCATATCAATTCCATTGTATTGTCACCAGTTCTAGTATAGTTAAAAATACACAAATTACTCTATTAATTAAGAGTAACCATGTTACCAAACCCCCTGAACAATGATTTCCTCCAGTCTGAAGTTGTTCCTGTGTCCTAGTGTCTATCAGACACTATAGTACTCTTCAGTATTGTGTAGAGAACTTCTTTATGGCTCTGCTTTAGAAATCCTGCAAATGTAGTCTCCCTCCATCTGCATGCTGCCACTTTTTTCCTCTCTCCTTTGGTAGCTGTATGAAAAGACTGGAGACAGCTTTGACTTTGTGCTGAAATCTTAAAATATTTGAAAATATTTGAATTATTTAAACACACTAGAGATCAAGAGCTAAAAGAGACATAATTTTTATGATGCTTTTAATCCTTACCAAACCACTGTCAGTATGAAGAATCTGAAGAGTAAGAGAGTTGTGTTTTGTTTTGTAGTTAAGAAAGTACAAGGTATTGTTTACTGCACTTGCTCAGTTTACCCAGAAGAAAATGAACTTGTAGTGAAAAAAGCACTGGAATCTGGAGTGGAGGGAGATAAAGTACGACCATATAGGTACAGAATGAGTAGTTTTATCTGTGGAAAAATTAAAGTATGACTTTAAATTATAGTATAATTCTTACCCTAGATTGATATGTATCTTGCATTAAATTAAAATAGCTTCTGCTGCCTGTCATGCCATTCTTTATGAGATTACTTAGCAGTATTCTATTGACTTTCTCATCTAATGTTTTTGTTCATCTGAAATTAAGATGGGAAGAAAGCATCACTGGTTGGAAATAACATTCTTCAGCTAGAGTCATTGCTATTATTATATTAGTATTCAGAGAATGAAACTAATTTACTAGCATCCTCTCCGCTTCTGATGTAGAATGCTCAATTTCAAAGGAAAAAGAAATTAAATTGTAAGGATCATACAGAAGAATAAGAACCCTTTGCTGTAGGCTTGCTCATTGCTGTATTCAGATGCATGACCGGTTACAGTAGGAGATCATCCTGTGCAATGATGGAAAATATAAATATATATGAAAAAAGTATGTATGCTGTATACTTCATACGTAGTTATAACCTGCTAGCTGTCACCCCTGTCAGCCAGAGTAATTGTTAAAAGACCGATGATTAAAAGATTGATGGTTAAAAGACTGATTGTTAAAAGACTTTCTGGATTTTCCTTTCAGTCACATAAATGCAAATAGTTGGCATTTGCACATGGATACAATAGTGGATTACAGGATGCAGGTTTAAAAGAGTTTATGTTCTAAAAAGCACAGAAGAGTAATACTATATTTTTAGATTTTATATTACCTTAGTTAATAGTCTGGCTATCAAAGGAAAAGGCACTGTGGCTCAAGATATTCACTGTAACTAAGTTTTGTATGATTAAAATGGTATTTACCATTTTTATTGTGGCCAGTCCAAAGAAGGTTGAAAAGTTGTATGTTATTCATAAGACACAGTGCAACAAAGTGCCTCTTTCATCAAATTCACTGATAGAAAACAGCAGCTGCTTGATTTTTTTTTTTATGGCAAGTAGGATGAAATCAGGGTATGTCTTGCCAATGATGGTGTGCCAGAGCAAAAGCATTTATGGCCTCTTGCTTGTGTTTTCTTTTGGAATTTGAAATTTTCTGGAGTCTGTCTTGACCTCTATGGGGAGAACTTAGGAGACCTTGGAAAGTAATGGTCTCTAAATTAATAAATATAAATAATATGTAAATTCATAACATATATAATAATTTTTATTAAAAAAAAAAGATCCTGGAGCTTTAATTATTTTTTTAAAACATCCCCCTCATGTGAAACACCTCTCTCCCCACAAAGCCAAGCCAAAATCTGTTCACAGTTTTGCAGAAGCATCATGAACGTTGTCAAACCACCAAATCATATTACACTTTCAAAAAGGCAATCTTGGATGGTAAGAAAAGGACAATAAAATTACAGTAGGATTTTTTCAGACCTGAGCAAATTTCTGACTGATGGCTGATTGAACTTCATGAATGACAATTTCGGATTCAGTTCCTCCTTCACTGTCGTGCAGTATCTTGGATGTTTCATCGTAGGCCTTGCTACAGTAAAGCTGCTGGTAATCAGCACAAACAGAGCAGTAATAGAATGCCATAAATAAAATATACTGAGTAATTATGCTTAAGATGAAAGCTGAAGCTATTTAAGATGCATGTACTGCTTACAAAAATTCCTTTTACACTTTTCTTAGAATTAATTAGAGAACTTATTTGACTAAAACAGTGCAGTATAGAATGAAAGGCTGTTGCAGATTTACTAGCCCCCCTGTTCACAGTAGTGTCGTTGAGAGACAAGTCATAATAAAACATGTATGATCATCAAAGATCTACTGAATATTAATTCCCTTTTCCAAGAAAATTGAGGGCTTTCAGGAAACTCTTACAACATTTTTGCTTATGTGCATTTTATCTTTTGGAATGCAGTACTGAAATGGTGCCAAACAAAATAAGGCTCTGCTGGAGTTTGGGGTCACACAGCTGGTCTTAGGGCTGTGCAGTTTTAAGGGTGCTTTCAAACATGTTTGCACAGGTTAAGCTGAATTTATCTTCAGGATATGACAGATTACAGCAACAGCTTTACCTAAAGTAAGGGTACACATGCCAAACAGGTGTGTATAGAGTAGTCTAAACCACTTGTGCATTTTGCTTTGGCTATCAAATTTGAATTAATTTCTGCATCATTTTTCATGGTCATTGAAGGGATTTCTGGTGAACAGTAACTTGTATAAATCAATAAAAAATTACCACTGGGTTTTTTTTTCCCATTGAATAAGCTTATCTAAAATCAAAAATCTGTGTCATAAAACATAAGAGTTTTATTTAGTAATGTGAGGAGGATTTGAGCCTTGTAGCCTGTTTTATCAAGTTCCAACAAACATAGAAAAAAAATCCAAGTCATGGTGAGAACTTGGAAACAAAAAGTTCTTGCAGACTTCCATTAAAAGTGAACTAGCCAGCCAAATCAGGATATTGCTTGCAAATATTGAATACATTTCTCTGTAACCATCTTTGAATAAAGCTCTGTCACCAGAGGGTTAGTGGAGCATTAAGGAGTAGGACTCTATCTTACAGTCCTCAGTGAAGAGGAGGGGGATATAATTACAAAAGGACATTTTGATAGTGTTTTTCTGTACTGAGACAGCGTAGTACTAGTTTGCCAGCTTTATAAGCCAAGTCCTTGAGACTTGGAATTCAAGGAGAACAGGAGAAGAGGCTAGTTCTTCCCTCCCCAGTGATGCACTGCAAAACTGTAAAATTGGAGAAAAAGCCTTCAATTAGAACAAATAGCAAATTTTCCTAATCTAAGATTTTTAGCTTAGATAGGTATTTATTATGATAATAATAATAATAATAATAATAATATTATTATTATTATTATTATTATTACTATTATTACTATTATTATTATCACTTATAGTTAACACCTCTACAATTTCTGCAAGCTCCTTAGTGTTTTCAGACCATTCCCCAACTTTAGGGACAACTTGATAACTCAATAATTGCACACATGAGAAAGAACATAGTTTTTAATTGTCATATTATGTATTTATTATCCAATAATAAATATACTTAATAACTGGGGGGAAAAAATGAATTACTGAAAAAAATGGAAAAACCCCACTTAATTCTAAAAAGATGAATTTTCATGCCTTTCTTGAATTTGTTTTTAAAAATTATGATAAAGCTATGTTGTTGAAAGAACATAATTTGAAAATTACTCTTAATGTATCCTTGTTTATTTCCTTTTATATTATTAAATATTATTTTATGGTCTTCCATTTCTTTTTTACAGGCTTATTCCTTCTGTTTTTTCTACTTGCTCTGATTCAGAGTCTTCCACCGAAATGTTTTTCAAAATGGAGCCATCAGAAATTTCCAGTGGTTGTTTCCTAGCTGTTCTAGAGAGAGAGGTAAGCTATGAAAATAACCATTTAAAATCACTTTATAGAAGAAGATACTATGACTTTCCACAGAAGAATAAACAAAATGGAACATTTGAAATAAAATTCCTGGCTGCTCTTTAGTTGTCTTAAGACCAAAAGACAGGTGAGCAGTTGAAATGTGCCTGAGCACAGGTTTAAAAGGTGTGCCTGTTCTGGAGCTCGTGATCAGACCAAGACCCTTGATCCAAGTTAGTGCCAGCAATATCTAGAGGAAATACATTGCTTTTATCACACTTTGGAATGAAATGCAGAGCTTGATTAGACTCAGGATAAATGGTATCTAGCAAATGAGTTTGTTATATATGTCACCAAGGTTTTCCAGTATCCAAGCAGCCGAAGTCTTAATCCCTGTGGGTGACACTATTATAATTTGAATTAAATAGGAATGAAAATGCTTCCTTTCCAAACTAAGGCATATGCAAATCTAGTTGGAAAGGCAGGGCACTTTTGCTGAGTAAATGGAAAAGTCTTGGATTCCTGAGAAAAGGCCTTAAAGGGCTAGTTTGCATCTCTGAGCATCAACATTTTCCTCTTGTCTCCAAGAGAAACACACATTTTTTCCATCAAAAGTGGAAGGGCTGTGGGGAAGAACTAATCACAATTTCATTGCAAATTAAAGATAGGAGCTGTTTCTTGGTTATTTGTACCATTTTCTGTCATACTGCAATTACAGTGCTTGAAAGAAGCTTGCCTCTTGGGGGAAGTTAGATTGTATTAAAAGTAAGAGAATTACATATGAAAAGCCCTTCAAGTTACCTGTTATTGACCTCTTTCTTTACAATATTAAATATTTTTAACTTGGTCTGAGTTTCAGTTAATCATGCTGTGTGAATCTCTCCACCATATTGTCTCCAGACAAACAAACACTTTTGTTGCAGGTAGTTAATTCAACCAATTTTTTTGGGTCATATTCTAATACAAAGAAGCAATTGCTCCAATGGCCAATTTTTAGGTGATTCAGCAAATTAATATCTTCCACAAAGTAGAAAACATGTACTTAAAATTTAAACTGAAATTCCTTGTTTACAGAAACGTTCTTAGCTAGTTGTAAATAGTTTCTCTCCCATATTTTCTCTTTATATAATTGGATGTTGACCTGGTTCCTAGTTTGAGAGTTCTTTACTCATGTATTATGAGAAAGAAGTTTCATTACTGTGAAAATTTTTCATATTTAATGTTACTGAAATTTGTGTAATTTCTGATATACATGCGTGCACACACACACACACACACAAAATGAATATTTTGTTCTTACAGGCACGTTACAGACCAGGTCAGTGTGGGAGTGTGTTGGTTTTAGCTTGGGTGCAGTTAATTTTCCTCACAAGGACTGGTGTGGACCTGTGTTCTGGATTTGTGCTGAACACAGGGTTGATGACATGGAAATGTTTTGTTACTGCTGAGCAGGGCTTACACAGAGCCAAGGCCTTTCCTGGTTTTCACACTGCCACACTGGTGAGGGGCCTGGGGGCGTGTGGGAGGCTGGGAGGAGACACAGCCAGGACAGGTGACCCAAACTGACCAAAGGGATATCCCAGACCCTGTGAGATCATGCTCACTGTATAAAGTGGGGGGAAGGAGGACTTTTGCAGTAATGGCACTGGTCTTCCCAGGGAACCACAGTCTTTATCTTAACCCGGGAGTTCCCTAGCTTTACTCTTCCAGTTCCTTCCCTGATCCTGTTGTTGGGGGACTGAGCAAGCGGCTGTGTGGGGCTTGGCAACCAGCTGGGGTTAAACACACGTCAGACACACATTACAGAGTCCAGAACTGAGTTCCCCCTCTTTGGGTCAGTAGAGAAGAAAGCCTCTGAAGAGCAAATGCTCCAGGACCTCTTTACACAAGTGAAGTTCTTAATTTTGTGAATAAATAGTTTGGTTAGCATTTATCATACGTGGCTTCAGTCCTTCTGCTAGATTCTGTTCTTTTTCTCATGGAGTAAATTCTGAGAATCTCTGTATTGTGGCTTAGATTCATTGTTGTTTTCTGTGAAATTTTCAGAAAGATACTAAAAAAGTGTCTGCTAAAGACATTTTGGCTTCTGCTGCAGCACAAGCTCTACTAGATGGCATTGTTGAAGAAAAACCAAAAGAAGAGATGAAAAAACAGAAAGTAAAACAACGTAAACGTAAGGTTACTGCTAGTGATAGTAAGCCAAAAGCTGCAAAACTCCATACTGGAGCTAATGTTAAGGCTGAAGTTCCTGTGTCTAAAGCAGCCAGTAAGATACAAGAAAAGCATGTGTGCCCAGTGTGCTCAAAAAAACCAACCAGTAAGATACAAGAAAAACATGTGTGCCCCACAAAAGCAGCCAGTGACACACCACAAAAGACTGTGCACAGGAAGAAAGCAGCCAGTAACATACAACAAAAGAATGTGCAGCAGGCAAAAGCAGCCAGTGACACACCACAAAAGACTGTGCACAGGAAGAAAGCAGCCAGTAACATACAACAAAAGAAAGTGCACCAGGCTAAAGCAGCCAGTAAGACATCCACCTCTAAAGCAGTCAGTAACACACAGCAAAAGATTGTGCCCTGAACAGACAGCCGTGTTGAGCTGAAGAAATCCTGTGAACCCTGATGGACACACAGCCCCACTAAAAGTGCAGAAGGCTACATCTCATCTGTCACCTCTGGGCAAGGTGTATGAGAGACAGACATCTGCTGAAAAGGTGCGTACAGAACAGAACAGAACAGGGTTGTACTGAAGCCCCTAACAATAACTTTGCCTTCACTGATAACGCCATATGAAAGGTTGTAATGAAACAAACCCAGGGTATCAACTTAACATTGCTTTCTTGGCCAGAGCACAGAGTCCAACTGGTTGGATATTTCCACCACCCTGGTCAAAAATGGTCAAGCCAACTTGGCTGTATGAACCTTCAGACTCTGGCCTCCCTTTGTAAAGAAGGTAAAGATTCCTGTATATTAATCAATAAGTTTTAAATTACAGTATATCCTTATGCAAGGATAATCTGACCTTGGGAAAGATATATTATGTGCTACATGTATAGAAACATCCAGTAACTTTCCATCCAGTAATCACACTTTAAGTGAATGGAGCTGCCTAAGGCTGGTAGATTGCTGGGGGAAGTAAGGTCAAAAAACCATAGCCTCTTGCTGTACACTTTGAAGTAACAAGTTAAATCATACACCTGACTCCTCACTGTATCTAAACCTGTACAGGTAATCAGTTTCAAATTGATGTTTTTAAAGTGAGACTGTATTTTTTTAAGTGGCTTTACATTACAAGTGCTAGATACCATTTTTGTGAGTTTCCACTTAAGACTGATGCATGGAAAATAAGCCTTGTATTTCTAAAACTAGTTGTGAACTTTTGTACAGGAAACTGGCCAAGGACATTAAAGCCCATGCATAGGCTTTCTAGTATGTGTTGTCTTGGTTTCTTCTTAAGTGTTGAAATAACTAACAGTGAAAAATAGATCAAATATTCTCATGTTAAAAACACCGAATTGCCATCATAATGTCACATCAGACTATGTCATGGTTCATAACTGCTTTTTATCTATTTCTTAACATAAACAGTTCTTAGTTGAAAAGAGCTGCTACTGTCAAAGTAACATTTTTATAAATGTTACCGCTAGTCAGCTGAATAATGGCTGGACAAAGAGTAGCTGTATTTGTCAACAGCTGTGGGCTTCTAAGCCGCTTCCTTTTGCTAGCAAAGATAAAATAACTTTAAAATATCTACCACTGTCTTGTAATCTGAGTAGAGGATAAAAGGAGGCAGAGAGATACTTTTAACAATAAATCTGATTTGTATCTAGAACTTGTAAAAATGAAAGAGACAGCACAATACAGAAAGACGAAGGTATCTGTGGCCTAGAAATTTTCTGCTAGGCAACCATTTCAGATACTTGGGAAGAGTGTTGCCAGGAGCATCACCACTATAGTGTGGAACTTAACCCATTTGACATACAGGTCTGGATTTAGAGAAAATGTTATAACATCTCTATTTTGTATTCACCCACCCCAGTTAGTGTCACTGGATCAGCAGTACCTTTTTAAGAAAGGATGTGAATTATATTACCCCAGCAGTGTAGACGGCTGGCTCTTGTTCATCTGATAAATATCCTTGCTTCACTGAATCAGTGAAAATTTTCTTCAGCATTTTAATCTGAGCCAGCTGTCCTACACTATACATCCCTCACCTTCCGCATATTCCTGTGACCAATCCATGCTCCTTACCTGTTCCAGTAACACAGTGAACTCTACTCTTATTTCTGAACAAACTTGTAAGGATAGATTTAGACCTGTACACATGCCATGTGTAGAATCAGAAAAAAAATGACTTTATTTCAAAACCATCTAGGAGGAGGAGAGATTCTGCATATTGGATGGAAGGAATGGACACTATAGAGATATTTTTTTTCCAAATATGGTTGTTAAATGCTTAAAATAAATGAGATTCTGCAGTTAAAGAATGATTTTTAAAAAAAAAAATCAAGATCTGTATCATTCATTATTAAAGTTAAAATTACTTGTAAAACAACATACATGTGTCTAATAACAGAATTTCTGGGCTACTTACGTAATATGTGCCATGATGTCCCACACTTGGCCTCATTTTGCTTTCAGGAATTTGCATTTTTGACATAGTACGGAGGTTAAACCAGTTAGAATCTTGATGTCTTACCAAGAATATCAGAGAGTGAATATTTCAACTGCAGGTCAGCAGCTTAGTTTATAAGCGTGGAGCATCACATGGTGGCAACATCTGGGACTGACTTCAGATGGCTTGTAGGTAGATGCCTCTAACAGTCAATGACTTTTTACAGTAAAACCATATCTTATGTAACTGTTTTTCTGTTATCCAGTTGTTTATTTGTAATTTTCAACTAGAAACTGTTGGTTCAGCTTTTCAGATACAAAACCCCTCATAGTACTGCTATTGCCTCTAAACCACCAGTGTGTTTTTCCCTTCCTTCAACCACTAATTTGAACAAAATAATTTTGCAGTTTCATGGAGCAGTAACAGTTGAGACAATCACTTTATGCAGCTAAATTTATTCTCAGAACAGATTACATAAGTGGTCAACAGCAGGGAAAATTGTCAAATTGTCCTTTTTCTTGTCAGTCATGTACTTTTATGTAAGACTGGGCCCTGCTAATAAACAGTGGTGTGTTTCCTTCTGTCTTACTGCTGTTAAATCGAACCTGCATTGGCTGTTGGGACAGCACATGGTGTGGCAATGTGTTAATAAACGTGCCCATGAAAGAAGTAATGCATTCGGGGGTAATGCTGAAATGCTGAGCCCATACTGGCTCTTGAAATGAGAATGTTCTCTTTTCCATCAGTGATGTACTAACACTTCTAGATTCCATGATAAATGATCTATGAAATGCTTGATAAAATTAAGAAATGTAGAACCCTTTGTGACAGCACTGGTGTGAGCTATTAGGTACTCCACAATTTTTGTTCCTCTGCCACTGAAGGGTGTAATATTTCTGTAAGTACAGGTGACTCTACACAGGAAGTATATAACTAGACCTCATTTTACTGTGAATGGATTCTATGCTGCTCTTATGCTATTTTTGTTATTCCCAGTTAACCAGCCTGTAGGTGGCCTCCATATGCTTGCATCTCCCACACCTCCTTGTTCCCCTGTAAATGAAACAGTAAGTGGCTTAAATAAAGCCTACAGCCAGCACTACAGATTTCAAAAGAAAGGCTTTTATCTATTAGTCATTGACTGTGAATATAAATCTCCTTGCTTCTGCAAGGGAACCTGTTAATGCCATGACTGACTTGTGATACCTCTTACTACTTGCACTGAAAAAAATTAAGAAGTTAGCTTTGCTTTACATGATTCTTCTACAGACTTCAATAAAAATGTGACTACAAATAATTACAAAGCCTGCCTTTTTTTTAGGCAACCTATAGAATACAGAGTGGAGAATGTTACAAGAGCACATCCAGTAAAGACAATACATCAACATAATAAAGCAGGATATTTCAGTAAAAATAGAATAAATAAAATAAAAATATTTTAAGCTGTATTTAACAGTTTAAGTTAGAATGCGGCATCAGACATACAAGGCATAGTGAACATGGCTGCTGGCCTACAGAATGACTAGGTATTATAAAAAATGCATAGATAACTGAAGGGTTGCTATAACATCAACTAGAACAGTTGCAGTTGCTCAAGCACACACACACCCATACTCCATACATACTTTTTTGGCCATGGTAAAAAGAGTGTCTGAATATATTGTGAAACAACAGATAATAGGCTATGTAATATTAGGCTCTGATTCGGCAAACACCTGGTGTATATTAAATCTTTTGGAGAATAAGGAGCTCTACTGAAGCAGAAAGGCCACATATAGTCAAATCATCAAGCACACTACTTAAATATTTGCAAAATCAACAGCATTTTGTTAACAGACATAAACCTCTTAAAACATACACTGGTGAGTGATGTACAGCTTTTCTGTCTTCTCTGCCCTGCCTGCAGTTGCACACGTTGCTAATGAAGGCTAACCAGATGTTCCTAGCCTTGACAACACGGGTGTAGAACCTTTACACTACTGTTTGCTAAGTGTGGTTTAGTTAAAGAGAGTCTGGATCTCCCTTTTAACACTAGTTAATCAGCACTGTGCAGATGCAATGACAAAATTTAATTGTACTGTTTAAAATTAATTCACTGCTGTACAACAGTTGCCAATTCGAAATTGTGACAGGAATGTCAGCAGGAACTTTAAAGACACAGTCAAAGTATTTAATTTAAAATAAATTAAAATGTGAATCACTAGCACAATGACAAACAAGGAAACTTTTATCTCCTAACTTCACAATCCTACCTAAGGGTACCTGTTAGCCACCACAGTTTGAGAGCAGTCATCCCTGGGAATATTCAACACCAGGTTGGATGGGCAACTTCATCTCGTGAAAAGTGCCCCCTGATAGGGGATTAGAATGAGACGACCTTTGAGGTCTCTTCCAAACCAAACAGTTCTGTGATTCTCTGATAGGAAGTGAGTTTTACACTGCTCCTAACAGAGGTGACTGGGATCAGTACTGGAAACTATAGAAGCTATATGCAAGCTGCCATCCCCATGCTGTGTGATCTGGCTCTGTGGTCAGTTCAGCCACAGGTACTGCTAAAGGGGGTGGGTTTGTTTGCACCCCTCCCCTCCAGCTCTCCCTGTGTACTCAGCATAAGCAGCTTTTCCATCTGTACAGGCAATAGAGGTGGTGCAAAGGAGGTGGCAAGAGTGAGCCTTGAGGGGGGGAACAGTTGCTTCAGTGCCTGAGGTGTAGAATCGTGGTCATGAAGAGATCTGAGATCTGTAGCTCTTCAGAGGATATTGTAGAAAGCTAAATTTAATTACAATAGTTGCATAGCCAGCCTTCACCTGACATTTGCTCATACATCACACTGAGTTTAGTAATGATTTTCCTGCATTTTTCACTGCAGAAATTTCTTGAATCATCATTATTTTCCTGTTGTGTTCCTAAGTTACTTCGCCAGGTGTGGTCACTAATTTCTTCGAACCAGGAAATAAAAAAGAAAATAGTTTGTTTGTAACAGTCTCTTGCATATTAAAAGAAAAAAAGTTATTGTAACAAGAACTTTGCTAGGGCTCCCTTATCATTGGAGTATCACAAGATTTGCAGACTTGGGAGACAGAGTTTGGAACCTAGCTATAAATGGAGGCAAAACATTTTTAACACTAGTTAAACACACTTAATGGTCCATTTCCAAAATCTGTACCAATCTGCAGGTTTAGACAGAAGATGACAAAGGGAGAGACTGAAGATGCATGACTGCATTTCAAAATCAGCCTGAGGTACAATTTCAAGGGCAATGCTCAGCTGATTTGTGAGGGTCTGCAGGTGTGTAAAGCAAATCAATTAGATGAAGTCTTTGGAGCAAAAGCAGTGAAATCCAATTGTACTACCTGAAACACTATCCTGTTAAAAAAGAACTCTCTTCTTATTTTGTTACAAGGGCATTAAAAGTAAAATAAATTTCATGAAGTTTTATAAATAACAAGAAATATAATTGTTCTTCTTCTGGCATGCTAAGTATTCAGCAACAAAACTCTGAGGGAAGGGAGAATTATGCAACCAGACACTGAACTGAACATTTCATCAAACACTTGTATAGAAAAGGTATGGAATAGTTTAGTCTCTATAACAGTTGTAAGAGAATAAAATCACTAACTACTTCTTCTTATTCTTGATTGATTTGAGACCTCCATTAAACAAACTATTTTTGATGAATTAATGATAGATTTAGGAGAATAAATTTAACAGCCAGCAGTTGAATTTGTATGTTTAAAGCTGAAAAGCTTCAGTGGATCACCCTGCAACTCAATTACTGAAAACACTTCTGGATTTTTCATCATTGGTTTGGTTTTAAAAAAAAATTCTTCTGTAAGACCATAATGTGTAACCAGAAGATGACATAATGACACTATGATTCAAAAACATGTCAGAGAGGTGTTAAAGTAGTAGCTAGACCAATGCTGACAAACAATTTTAAAAGTAACAGGTGCAGTTCTGTAAAAAATAAAACTTGGTATTTAATCTACAGTAATTAAATGGTAGCTAATACTTGATACCTATTCCAGTGTTGAAAACAGAGCAAAGTGCTGTAGGATTCATGATTGGTTTATGACAAATCCAGCTCAAGAAGGTGAAACTTTTAACTTGGGCATCATTCACTCCAAGGACTTTAGCATGAGTTCACTGGGAGGGACGTGGCCATATTCTCTTTTTTGTGTGAATTTAGGTAATGTTCGTGTATTTACAATCAAACAGACCTTCCATTGCCCATGATGTAACTCACTGACAGCAAAAAAATTATTCATGCTTCTTTTCATATCACACGATGGTGGCAAGAACGAGAGAACATGCTTGTCTAACATTGTTTCGATAGGGGTAAATTCTCGGAAGAGAAAGCATCAGCAACTGAAATGGAAGGTCAGACATTGTCCGTTCATTTTCCTTAGTGTAGCTACTGCTGTCTTCAGTCACATGGTAGGAGAATCTTCTCTCTTAAGCAGCTATGGCATGTCGGTGACTGGGCGCTTCTGTTTCAAAGTGTCAATGAGAGACAAGACTCCTCTTTTTACGTTAGTTGTGACTCTTCTGGTCACCGAGTCTGCAGGCGGCGGGGGCGGCCGAACTTTCTGTGAAGGAGGTCTGGCTACTAAGCACTTCTGATACCGTAACTGCAACAAAGCAAAGCCATTCTGTAATCATTACTGGATCAAATCACTTCACAGACCATTTTAAATACACTTCTAGTATTTACTCAATAAATATAAATCTGTCAAAAATAAATATAGTCAAGCATCTGCTTTGGCTGTGTCAAAAAGCTCAGCTGAAGTTAATGGGAAATTGGTCTGTCAGTGTTACAGAAAATGTCCATTGGCACACAACAGATATGGGTATAAATCATATAAATACCCATTTGAAAACTGAAAACTAAGTTTTCTGGGTTCAGCTACTCTTGAATAAGGATTATTTTCTGGATTTCATAACACGACTCCAAGCAAAATGTTTTCCTGGCATTAGACAATTTGTGTAGTGAAAGAAAAGATTTCTAATTTACATGCATGTTGCAGAGGTTAGGAGAGAAAATAATTAAAGGGGCATTTTTCACTAAGCTAATGCTTCAAACATTAGAATGTTTGGATTTTAATTTATTGACTATATAATAATATTCCTATTTCTATCTTTATTTGCTCTGTCTTGAAATTAATATAATTACAAATTTGAAAAAATGCTAATTTATGGAGGTAGTGAAAATCTGAAGTACTATTAGATGCCTTTGAAGAAGGTCACTTACCATACAAGCAGCCTGAACAGCTTCTGATACGTTGCCTGCATTTGGTTCACACCAAAAAACATGGCACTCAAAATGCTGGTTTCCTGTGTCCATAATGAAGGCGAACGTGTGGATGTCTTTGCCTACTCCCATGAAGGACAGAAACCGCACACGACACTCCACCATGACTTCCTCTTCATTCTGGTCATGAACCAAAGGATTGACATTACTACTGGATACTCTGTGGAACTTTCAGTTTTGTTGAATGGGAGGATATCCTGATACAGAATTGTAATTCCTTCTTATCCATCTATGTAAAGCATGCTCAGGCCTGGGCGGGATCTCCCTGTCCCGGCTGTCACCGAGGCTTTGAGCATTGCCACAACATTTTAAAATGTTGTACCTTTTAGAAACTGCTTGTTTTGTGAAGAAACAAAACAACATAGGTATAATGACTCCAAAACATGCTCCCCTATTACTGGTATGTTAAAGAGATGTTGATTTAGTACCTCATCAAAAGACATATATAAAATACAGCATCAGTAAGTCTCACTCCATGGAAAATGCTCTACATTTTCTTCTGTAACACAAATTTTTATATTACTCTTGGCTTCCATACCAAGAGTAAGGCAAATGCAGTTTGGAATTTAGGATTGCTACTACTTTGGGCTCAACCTTCAACATTTTAGGCTCAAAATTCCTAGAAAGGAATACACTGAATTTAATTATCTAATTAATATTTATAATAATTTCTTTCTGAGAACATGCTTGGAATGATAAAGAAAACTGAAAGTAGTATGAGCAGTAAGAGCCTCTGCAGATTCTGGAAAGTAATAAAATGCAAAGTAAGCAAATAAATTTTAGTTTAAATTAACCCAACTAGCATTTCTGTGTTCCTGGATTTCAACACTCATTTTAATTGTGTTTTAAACAACACAGTCTGCCTTACTCTTTCATTGATGACTGTGACAGTAGCATCAGCAACGTTCATGGTAACTGGCAACCAGTCATCTTTGCTAGAGGAAGCCATTAGACTTTCAATGGCACTGTTCAGAGTATCCATTCCTAAAAGAGAATAAAATTAACAACTTAAAAATAATATATATAAAACATAACAGATTTTTTAATCTCCACTCAGTAGTACAGAAAACACATTTTTTGTATTCCTTATTAAAATTAATATGATCATGGGAGAAGGTATTGTGAAGTTGTATTTCTCCATCTGGAAGACCAAAACAGGTGCCTCTGGCTTACAAAAAAAAACAGTATAGCATCTTGTTTAGCTTTTGTACTGTTTCAGTTCTTTAGGGCCCTACTCATTAGTAGCACAGCTCATATTCAGAGAAAGCTGTAGAAAGAAACTCCGCCTTCTTGGCAGCTCCCAGAATACCCTGTTTGCAAAACAGATGTTCATGTGATGCCCTGAATATTAGATGTCTTTATGCCTGATTCATGTGACTGAAACAGAAGTGTTGCTCCCCTCCAAAAGTCATGCACTGGCAGCTGACAAGCCATTAGAGTTTAAGCAAGGCAATTTGGAATTCACTTAAGTGTTACATACCCACAGGTTTAGCTACAGGTAGCATGCCCAGGTACTGGACGTGAAACTTCTGTACCAGTTCTGTCTTTGGTGTTGGAAAATCTACTGCATGGGAACAAAAGTCAATTTCTATTAATCAGCATTCACAGAAGGAAAAAGCATTCTTATTTCATTAATAACATAAAACTGTTTACCCATTAATTGTACTCTGAAGGTATTACATCGATTTAAAGAAATTTTTATTCCTTCTAACAAGAACAAGCCTCAGTAATTTCTAAAGGAATTTTTGGTCTATGCTAAGAATAAAATCATATTGTAATGTTGGCATATTAAAACGGAGAAAATAAACATGAATGGGTCTCTGAGATGTATAAACCTAAGTTTCACTGCAACAACTATGTAAAATCTGTAATCTGCTTTAATACCATCCTTGCTAATATGTTAAACACAGTCTCCAAGTTATCAATACTACTACCTGAACAGTACACATTACACAGACCATTGCACAAGCTGATGTATGGATTAGGAGTAAGATACTCGGTACAAACTGGTGGATCTAGAAGCATATAATTTGCTCTAAAAGTAATGCAAAGTATATTTTTTCTCCTGGAATAGTTTCAAAACAGCAACTACTAAGATACGACCAATAACAGCACACAAAAGCAACTTCCTTCTACCATGCAGTGAAGTGTGCAAAAGCTGGATGACAACCCACGTGGTACCCTTGTGCCTCAGAAGTTGCTAAAATAGATGCTGAAACCTAGGAGTACTCCTATGGCACTTCTGAATCCAAGTGAGTACCTGGAGTATATTCTGCTTTTAAGGAAGATTTGGCCAACTGGTGCAGTCTTAAGTCAGGAAGTATTTTGATTTGAAAAATACAATATCCTGAGTAACCACAAATAAGTATGACTGTGTTTGAAACACTTGCATTTCAAAATAAAAGAGGAAATGCACAAGTTGATATTACTGAGCAGGACTC